ACCTCCTAATTTTGCGTCTACTTTAATCCTGTAAAAGGATTTTTTATTCCGTTCAGTCAATTCGAAGATTTTTATACAACTGTAATGTGATAATTTGGTCACTCCAGCATCCCCTTAAAGAGATTGAAACAATTTAGACGCACCGTCGAGTTGATGCGTGCACGCGTTACGCATGAAACATCCCGACGAGAGAGCACGAATACGATCGAAAAGTCAGGAGGTTCGCTGCGTGAAGTGTGCGTCGATGAACATGTGGATGGATGTACTTGTTGAGTGAATGAAACGACAGCCTGAATGAGTCTGAGGGGAAAGGCCGTTGAAGAGAATGACAGAAACGCGAGACACGCGCTGCGCTGCTCAATCGCCAATTTGGCAATTCGAGTTACTCTCTCGGAACTCACCACTCAGCCGACACGAAACGATCACTGAATTAGACACGATCGTGCATTGCGCGCTTGTGATTTCGTAATCACGAATCATTGAGAGCGTGAAAGAGCTCTGATGTCAGCCAAGTGGACAAGGGTCACTTGTATCAGCCGGTATCTTGATTTTTTATTTTAATACATATAGGTATTATGTTAAACGCGCGCGTTGAAGTAAACAATATTATTTCTTATTATTACATATTCTTCACTTTAATATATCAGTTTACTATGATCGATTAGTTAATAATAGATAATTTTCCGCAAGTTTTTTCCGATATACATATTTATGAAATTATTAGTATTTTATTGTATAGCAATTTTAACTGTTACAAATTTTTACAATTTTTTGTATAAAAATTGAGTATAAAATTGTGAGCGCTCATCTTTTTATTGCTTTGATTATAGTCGTCTCAATTAGGCTATATTTGTTCTTTGACAAGGATCCGATCCACGAATCCAATTCGCGCTCGATACGGAAATTAATTGCGCGAGTATGGCTTATTGTTCTTATGCACAACCAGGGGCCGCAATGGTGTAGGGCTTTAGAAAAGTTGACGAAAAGATAAAGTGCATGCGACTGTATTTGTACCGTATAATATGTCGGTAAGCCCAATGGGCGTGCTGAACGCCTCGGCACGAACCGATTGATTCATTGATCTATTGACGATTCCAGCACGCCGACAGGAAATCATCAAGATGACTGAGCAATTGATCGAGAGCATCAACACTGGAGATTTCGAAGCATACACGTAAGTAACGATATAATCGTTTATTAAAGAGACTCAAAGGGCTATTCGTGTACGTTCGTACACGATAAAAAATTGCTCAAGTACTGATAAGTTTGCCTATAGTTTTCCTAACGTCAACGAGAAAAAATTTATTTCAGATTATTTAAATAAAGGATACTCAGATTTAAAAAATATTGAAAATAGGAAGATTCGAGATATCATATATAAAGTTTTTGTTAAAGAATACATCATTCGATGAAGCTTTTTATCAAGCTATATATCAATATTTTATCAATATTTTTGTTTTACATTTTATATTTGTTAAACCACTATGACGATATTTACATTTCATCAACATATATCACTTAAAATTGAATTTGGACGATAGGCGATTAATCTGGTAGAAATAGCCGATGCTCCCGATAATATTGTATACAGGATGATAAAAAAATCATTCCGCATTTATATGATATTGTAGATAATACGCGCCATATTGACAAGTAAACTTACCCAAGTGTAACTCTCCGATTTTGATGAGCTTTTAGTATGTTGTTCTTCAGACAAAAATAAGCGACACATATTTTTTTATACGTGCCCATACGCACTTTTAAGGGGTGAAACACCCCTTTGAAAAAAATCGGTTTTTCTCTTTCGAAGCGAATCGTCGAAACTATAAGAGGTAGAAAAAAATTTCTAGAATAAAAATTGAATGATATTAAGAGTACTTTACAACTCTAATAAAAAAATTTTTTTAATTATTTATTTATTGTATACTCTCACCCTCACTCATATTTTCAAAAATTTTTAAACTTTTATATGACGAAAATTAAAGAGCATTTATTGCTGAAAACAACGGTGTGTATTTAAATCACTTTCCGAAAAACCATTTTTCAGATATGAACGAAAACGTCTCTATGTACGCGCTCCATACGTATTCATACACGCGTGCACGTGTTGTGTATGTATGTGTGCGGGAGGAATACCCTTGCCTCATACGTTTGGAATGCTTGATTTACGTGAGTCCCCTTGCCTCTCACGTTTAGGGGTATGTGTGAAGATAGCGTCTCACTTGGTGGAAACTCATTAAATATTAAGAAATTCTGAGTTTATTTTCAATAGTTCTATATAAGATAAATAAATAGTTTCGGCCATTAAAGCCGAGAAACCCAAAATTCAAAATGAGACGTCAAATTCACAGGGCCAACTTCGTCTAAAAAAGTTTCCAGCCACAGTTTCTTATAGGATTTGAAAAGATACATAGTTCTGACACCTAACATTGTTATTTTGATTTTTAAACAATTTTTTGCCCTAAAAAATAGTCTCTAGAAGGAACGAATATGAGATGCGCTGTCTGATTTCAAAGAGTTCTATTAGTTTTATGGCACTTTTCGGGTATTCCTCCCGCACACATACATACACAACACGCGCACGCGTGTATGAATACGTACGGAGCGCGTACATAGAGACGTTTTCGTTCATATCTGAAAAATGATTTTTCGGAAAGTGATTTAAATACACACCGTTGTTTTCAGCAATAAATGCTCTGTAATTTTCGTCATATAAAAGTTTAAAAATTTTTGAAAATAGGGGTGGAGTTGGGAGTATACAATAAATAAATAATTAAAAAAATTTTTTTTACTATAGTTGTAAAGTACTCTTAATACCATTCAATTTTTATTGTAGAAATTTTTTTCTACCTCTTATAGTTTCGACGATATTCGCTTCGAAAGAGAAAAACCGATTTTTTTTAAAGGGGTGTTTCACCTCTTAAAAGTGCGTATAGGCACGTATAAAAAAATAGGTGTCGCTTATTTTGGTCTGAAGAACAACATACTATTATAAAAACTCATCAAAATCGGAGAGTTACACTTGGGTAGGTTTACTTATGAGTAAAAAAATCTTAATGTGTGTGTGAACAGCGGCCTCGATTGCTGTTTTTAAATGTTACTTTAGATTTTTCTTTAAATGAAACGAAAAATCTTTCTGTTGAAGGAAAAATGATTCTAAATTAACTGAAAGATATATATGTATATATATATATACATATATATACACACAGGGTCATCGAAAAGTATCGGACCCCCCTAATGTCTTCAGTTAGAATGCATTTTGGAGAAAATGTCCAATAGCAAAGTTGTATGGTTTCAAGCGAGGAGTAAGATGATGACCTTGACTTTGATCTTGACCATGTCCTTTAAGGTCATTTCAAGATCAACCTTATTTTTTTAAATGGAACCCCTACATTTTATTGCATATTTTTATAGCTTATCTCGAGAGCTTTCCAAAACACTATAATAAAACATTTTTTCATTAAGTACTTTTTGAGTTATAAAGGTTTGAAGTTAACAATTTGTTAAGGCGAATTTCATTCCAATTGGTCAGCTTGGGCAAAATATTCAATTGTATCAAACAATTAATTGGTCTCATTATTCCGCGCACAAAAGTATTA